TTAGTTGCTAATTTTTTGAATGTGCAAATGTTTTGCTTGTAAATATGTCAAATCATTGAAAATTCTTTGTTTAAAAATATTTTCGAATCCATGGGAGCCTTTAGTTGAGGCCAGCAGCGGAGTTAATATTGATCAACTTAAGTCATCTCGACAGTCGTCTATCTCCATGCATTCATTCTCCACGCAGGTGCGACAAGGGAAACAATCGGATGAAACGACACATTCGACATAGTCATTCCCCACGTAGAGTCGTGCCCTCTAAGGATTTAAAACAAACAATCTCAAACAATTTTAAGATCGATATTCCTAAACTACTTCAAAATTTTCCTGCCATTCATGAATCGGTTCACGAAACAAGTTCTAGGCATTCTTTTGTTATTCCACCCAATAAAACTGAGTGATTCGAAAAAAGTGCAAAATATAGGTTACTAAAATTCTGGAATGAGTTACCTCATGAAGTAAAAGATGAAAAAAATCTCAACATCTTCAAATCCATGTTGACTACGTATATTTGTAAAAAACAGATGTAAATTTTAAGTTAAAAATAATACCTGTATCATTTTTAAAAACTAATTAGTAAATGTCAATGGTTGGAAATCAAGTTGTTACCTTCTGACAATATACACTTATTATTATTATTATTAAGGTGAGCTTGGATGAGTCATTCCCGCGCGTCTTATTCCGCCTCATGTGCCATGTTTCCTTATGGAGAACTTCTTAAAATTAACTTTCCGGTGTTAATATTAAGTGAAATTTAAATGTAATTTCTTTAAAATACTTATGCAGATTAGGTTTCAGCGAAAAAATTCCCTTCCTGCGAAGCACAGCAAAATAGGAATCTAATCTACAGTTTTGTTAAGCTAAAAATTTAGAATATTTTAAAGTAATAAAATTCAAATTTGATTGAATATTAGCGCTGAAGAGTTAATTTTAAGTAATATTTTTTACGTTGGGAATTTATTTACCTCAAGATTTCTGTCCTCTGGCATGGCGTCCACGTGCGATGTGAAGATTGATTGAACCAGAAGGAAGAGTAAGATTTTAGATATCATGTTCCTGAATTTTGGAACAATTAATTTTTTTAACAAGTCGGTGTGGGTGGAGTGGCTGTGAGGTTATGTTAGATAAGTTCCCTTCTAAAACCTTATTTATATGTACTGGAACCATTCTGTCTTAATCATCTAGTCAGGCTAATTAAGGACTGTTAGATATAAGAAGTAGGTGAGCAACGAATTGATGGTATTTCCAAAATCAACATAGTCGTTTTAATTTAAATAGAGCTAAGTGCAGTGAATGTTTAATTTTAAATAGAGCTAAGTGCAGTCAGTTCTAAATCTAAAAAAAACTAACTGCACAATAAGCAATATATTTAAAACCAGTGCAGTTAGCTTTTTTTAAATTAAGAACTGACTGCAATTAGCTTAATTTAAAATTAAGCATTTACTGCACTTAGCTCTATTTAGAGTTAGAACGACGATATTCGAAAGTAATTTAAGCAGGATGTTCTTCAAAAGCTAATCATAAATATTATAACTATTCCCTAATTGCTGCGTAAATCGGTACCCCCATAAACGTTACGAGTGACATGTAAGGTAAGAAATGGAAATCCCAAAATTTTTACGACACCTAATCGTTTTCAGAGTCATTGTCTGAATAAATTTAGTACATACCAACACGATAAGCAATATTAACGAGGTAATCTTAATGTTTGATTAGATGTGTGTATCCTATACTTGGAGATGTTTACAGTGCATGACAACTACATGACCAAGATAAGCTCAAATTGATCAATCCATTGCTCAATTAATTCCCATTGTAACTCGAATGTGGCTCAGATGCAGGTGTGCAATCAATTGTATGGCATCAATTAAAGGAGCTTAGTCAAAATCAAAATATTCATTTAATTAATTAATTAAAAATCTAAATACGTATGTAAATTAATTTGTGCTTTGAGTTGAAAACTACAAATATTTCTATGGGGTATGAAATGCTGGTAAAAAATATTTAAAAACTAATCCACAACCTTTAATCAGTAGAAAATACGGTTACGATTATAACCAGAAAGTGAAGCGAAACAACTTGATATGTATTCCAATCAGGTATAAAGTTATTTTGAGACAAAATTAGAACCAGACGGTAAATAATTTTGTTACCAGAGCAAAGAAGTCTTGCATATCTGGATTTTCTGGTTTTAATCGTAACTTAATTATATTGATACCTAGTAGACAGTTGTATGCATACTGGGTGTCCCAAGTGTTTCTCCAGACTTTCTCGTACAAAAGGGCAAAAGCTGGTTAACAAAAGTTTGTACGTGACCTCTACGACGCTCATGCTGAAATTTTCAAAGTAAACTATTCACTTGTTCGCGAACAAAAGTTGAGTTTTATGGCTGGCGTGCCCTTAACCTCTTTCGGTCGACTTATTTTTTAATAAAACTTCCCTTCAGTACAACCTTTATTAAGTGGCGCAAGCTACTTTATGCGATCGGTTAGTTAGTCTGTCTGTCCGTCTGTCCGTCGGACGGACACTATAACTATATAACAACACTATACTATATATAGTATAGTGTTGTTAGGTCCAACACTATAACTCGAGAACCCATCAAGATAATCGAAATCGGTTTGCGGCATCATACATACGACTTCAGGGGGAGGATCCCGGAAACTTTTGGACCACACCCCCTCGGCGCCACGGGGTGTGGTTGCAGTGTGATCGGGGCAAATGAGATTTATAGCGCAAATTAATCTATGGATGAAATCCAGTTAAATTAAGTGTATCTGTTAAGTGTATCTGAGTGGTGGCACACCCCCTCGGCGTCAGGGGGTGCGGTCGCGGTGTGATAAATTAATTAATTCCAATGAATTAATGAATTAATCATTAATTAATTAATTAATGAATCAATTAATTAATTCAATTAATTAATTGCGAAAATTAATTCTCAGCATTCTCAGCATTATTGCGCTACTGATGTATCGTGCTTTGCCGCACTTTATTTCATACATAATTACACCTGATAGCAACCAAATAAAATTAATAATTATTTCACCCAGTTTTCAAGTTTAGAGTTTTTTGATGAAAAATACGAAAAGTATACTTTTTAACACTCCAAAATTAAAAAAAAGCTCTAAAATCTGTGAATAAAATATCGAAAAAAATCCACTTTTCATCATCGAGTTTTCGAGTTTCCTCAAACTACCAAAGAAATAATTTTATTTTTGATAAATTTGGGTGTCAGGGTAATTTATGCAGTACACATGCCTTGTGTAGTTGGTAGTCAACGGAAAATCAAATACTACACAACTCTGTGTACTTTGGTAGCCAAGAGGTTAAAAATGCATCGGGACAAACATTTAGTTAGCAAAAAATTGTCAAGGTTCTCAAAGTCAATCTCTTTCTCACCAATATTCCGGAAGCGACACGTGTTGATAAGTTATCCTTGTGTGGTCGAGTCATGCCAATTTGGAGTAAACAAAAATATGCAAATTAATTATTTACCTGTTAATCAGTATACACCTTCGAAAATTGGGTATACTTTGAAAAATAGTCTTATCCTCTCAAAAAGTAAGTCAACTTGCTATGTACGACTCTTCCACTGGTCACGGAATTTAACCCGATTACACACATAGAGTTCCAACCTTTAAACCCAAAAATCGATGTTGGTCAATTTAGGTAAAGAATTGTATAAATGTTGCTAATCTACGCGTATTCCCTTGACGGAGGCCCCAAGTGATACGGGAGAATGTCTACTTGCACTCTTAAGAAAATCAGTAAAACGCGGTATTGATATGTGACTTTACCGCCCTGTTAATGACTTGGTAATACATGCAAGAAAATAATGCCATATGGTACAAATTTTAATACCACCTAGTAATAAATGATTACCACGTAGTATTATTTCATTACCGAGTCTATACCGGCGTAGTACAATCGCTTAGTACCAAAGCGGTAGAGTCATATATCAATGCCGCTCATTTTTTAATACCCAGTTTCTAAGAGTGAACGTAAATGGCGCGTTCACGGACCATGCTTCCTGATTATGCATGTCAACTTTGTGTCAGGTCAGGGTTATTATTCATTAAAATATAATGCAGCATAGCGTCGTCCAGTTTTACATATATTTATAATCATGTCATAAAATTACCCCGATTGCTATCAGTGTTATGAAATCATTACGATTACGATCACGTGACAGATCCAATGTCCCAAATTATTTGCACATACTGCATGAGAGTTGGCTATTTTTAGGCAGCACAAAGATTTTTTCTGGGGTTCAACTGATACTGTGTGACCATAACATGTTTCCCGGTGGAAAGACTAAGTCACTAGCTCACTTTTTCTAGATATGTAGCGATCTTGTGTTTAAATGGGTTGTAAATGAATCATAAGTTGGGCTTGATGGCGTTTTAACCGACTTTTTACACTATACCCCCATATTTAGATTTATTAGCCTCCCTAATTTAGTGATACCATATTTCACTTGATATCATTCCGATTTTGTATTTGAATTGGTACAACTTTAAATATGAATCTCATTTGCGTCATTTTTTATACCCATCATTTTCATAAAATGCAATTTCGTTTATCTTTGTGCAATTGACTTTGATGCCGCATCAAATGAGGAATGTATAAAACTGCGTACATATAGAAAATCCGGTGTAGTAAAGCGTCACCGGCCGAAGTGTACATGTGAGTCAGATAAACCTTCGCTCACTGGTGTATATTTTATCACCAGCAGACATTATCTGCCTGCCGTGTCACACGCACACCATGTCGTAACGAGTTTCACTGGATTTTTGGCAGCATTTTTGGGAACCAAACTCCCAGTTTTTTGTAGTCTATCCTCCAAAAACTGGGATATGTGCTGGTTTTCCATCGTATAAATTTATTTCCTTCGACTGGCGAAATCTTTGAAGTGATTTTGTGAATGAGAATTTTAAGACGTGAAATATGGGCGTGGATGGGAAATGATCACGGGCGGGTATAGATGGGCGGGTTGTTTCCGTATAACTAACGTGAGGAACTTACCCGTTATCCACCAATCAGTAAAATATTTGATATGCACAATACATTCTCCGCTGGATTATATGCTCAAAGGTTTAACTGACCGAAATTACCCCCCCCCACTTCACGGTTGATCAAACGATGTAAATAAATAGCCGCCTTAAATGGCACGTATGTATATAAGGTTGTAAATGAAAATTACAAATATTAAACTTTGCAGTTATAAATAAATTTCTGCTGTAATAAAGTGCGACAAAGCACGATACATAAGTAGCGCAATAATGCTGAGAATGCTTCACAAAATAATAATTCACCGATTCAAATTTTAATAATGCCTAAAAACGAGTTAATTAAAGATAAACCAATTATCTTTAATTGACCACATTCTCTATACTGTGACATGTCGACACCACAGAAAAACATGTTTTGCCTAAATTTCATGCATATCGACCGCAAAATGCCGAAATTTGGGCATGGCGACAAAATTTGTCGTCGAAACCTTAGTCCCCATATTGCGACATGTCGACAACACAGAAAAACATGTTTTGCCCAAAGTTCATGCAAATCGCCCAAAAAATGCCGAAATTAGGTCATGGCGACGCTTTTCGACAGGATATCGACAAAGTGGGCAAACCCCATTAATTGGGTGTCACCCCCTACCCCTGAAGAACATGTGTTAAAAATTTCAGGTCGCTGCGACAAACCGTTCTAGAGTTTTAGTATTGACCGACAGACGGACGGACAGACGAACTAACCGATCGCATAAAGTAGCTTGCGCTACTTAATAAAGATTGGTTGTATGGTATATTACTCTGATAACATGCTGGTATAAAACCATTCTCACTCTTAATCGCCTGACTTGTGCCTCATAATCAGCGAAATCAGTTACAAGTTAAAAATAATTCGCAAACTAAATTCCCTCCTGAGATACGTACATATTTGGTAAACATGCGTTTAGCATACTTCTGGTTGATTTTGCTAATGCAAATCATGCTACTCGAATATGTAGCAGGATTTCGAAGAAACAGCAAGTATGTAACATAAACATTTGCAATAGATCGGCAGCGATAAGAATTTAATTAACCGAGTGATTTTCTAGATTCCGTCAGAGAAACGGCCTTCGCACAACCAAAGCGATAATTAGAAATCAAAGCGAGCTAGAAAAAGTATGTTCCGATGATATGGGAGTAATTGCTAACAAAGTTAACCCGAAAGTTAAAGTTGGCCATGCTCGCAAAACAAAACAGGAGGATAGAGAAGCGTTAAGAAAGGACCCAAATGTCAAGAAATTCATTAAGAAATTCTCCGAAATGACAATTTGCACTGGAACGTCTAAAGAAGAAAATTGCAAGAAAGTGAAAGAAACAGAACGTGTAAAAAATTGGGCTTACAAAGGAAATCAGGATGGTGGACAAAATTGTGAGTTAAGTTACCTTTCATCAAACTTTTCATATGCGCTGTAACTAAGAAATTTTTATTCAAATTTAGCGGTTTTTAACCAACATAATAAACGAGTACGGGACGAATCATCGGCAAATGACCCGTGCGCCGAAATATATTCCAAATTCCCAAAAACTATGCCTTCTCGGGATCCGACCGCGCCTGAGGGACTCCTTTCTGTAAAAAAAACACTCACGAACAATTAGAATATGTTGCATTTGAGGTTACTCGTGAAGACGTGCAGAATAAAACAAACGGGAGAAGAAGTCGTGGATCCGCAATTTCTAACAAGGTTACAAAACACATTAAAACAAGTATGTTAGCAGGAAAGGATGCTCGTGGCCATATAACCTGCTTCTCTACTTGCAAAAAATGGAGAACTTAATGGCCAGATCGACAATTTTTTTGCGCAAGACAGAAGCATAAATACTGCGTGGGGATCAAGAGAAAAAGATATAGTAAGGTTTTTAGAAGACAATGAGAGTTCAAAAGTAGTAATGGAATATTACTTTGAATATTTGCCACAAAACAGAATCGAAGAATCTGAAAATCATCGTCCTGACGTAATTAACATTAAAGTCACGTTTCAGGGTCCGAACCCAGAGAGTGGTAAACAAAAAGAGGAAGTGGGCTTTATCTCTATGAGTAATGGAGACCACAGTAAAGAACGACGAATGAAGAATCCTTGTAAGCCGGTTGCGAAAAGTGGTGTTACGGCTACAAATGAAAAAAAGCGGTGGGGAAGAGGTCGAAAGAGGTCAGAAAAGGTTAAAAGGGTGTTAGTAAAAAAATGCATAGTGATTCATATCGTTTGGACTGGTGGTGATCAAATAATTAATGTTATTTAAATTGTATTCACCCATTCAAATATACATATTTATATAAATTGGCACAGTTTCATTAATCCAATTTGCGTAGTTTGTTTATGATCCTGATTTGTGTAAAATTCGATCTTACTTATCTCTCTGCAATTAAATTTGATGCCGCATTAAATGCCTAAGATTTGATAAGTTATCAATGATAACTGAGTCATAATGCAAAATAATAAAAGCGTTATTATCCTTAAAGTATTTAATCCATTTGATTCAGCAACACAAGATTATCTACATAGTCCGTCATTTATTTAAGCAACACTCTAAATAAGAGTTGAACAAAATTTACCCCACAGTTGAGTAAAATTTTCACAATTGTTGTGTCATCCTCTTTTTTTTTACTCAACCTTGGGTAAATTTTCCACCACTTTTATTTAGAGTGAATTCACGTCACCCATCATAAGTCCGGGACCACGTAAATTTACGAATCTTACTAAACTTTTAAGAAATTTGTACATAGTTATGATTAATATTAGAACGTGGGCAATATTTTAAAAATTTATATTTAATGGGCGCGAGGGTTTGTAACGGATACGGTAATAATTTTCATTTTGAGTTTATTTTACTGGACACGTTCATGTCCAGGTCGAATCCGCCAGGCGAGACAACGGTGAAGGATTTGGATATTCCTTTTCCGACCTTTGGTTTCGGTACAATAATATTTGTGAAGCGATCTTGACAGTGTGGTCATGACGGGGAAACCTGCGAATTTTTCGAGATGACGGAATCGCCAAGTTTTATCGACTTGGTGGACACAATTTTTCCCAAATTAGAGAATGTGAGGTGTAGAAGGAAGTAGTGCTAGAGGGCAAAAACCGAGCGTGCATTCTTACAAATCCAGTATTAAAACAATACAAGGCGGAATTCATACGTGCCTCTACGGAAGAACAGCTCGGTATTAAAATTTTATTGTAATTATTTAGACTGTAGGAAAGGTAATGAATTAATTAATTTGTTATGAGTCACCTTTATTCTTATTCGTCCTCTCAATAGGAATGACTCCCGTTATGGAAATTTGCACTCAGACGTCGTGCATAAATTAGTGGACGTAATTACGACTTCACAGCCGTGGTTGGATGATGCAAAATCGAGCAGCAGTTTCCGTCCTACTTTGTACGGAATTCTGTGGCACGGAGTAGCCTTCGACGACGAGGTAAGGTCGTTGACCGAGGGACCAGCGACAGGGCGACACGTGGGGAAAGTCACAAGCCATCATGACCAGAGGAAATGGAGGTTGACGACTAAATCGATTTTGTATTTAAAAAAGTAATATCTAATTGGATTCAATATTTTAATAAATTTCTGGAAACTGTAATCTCTCAAAAATTGTAGTGCATATAATTGCATAAATATGGATCTAGATATGCAAATAATGCAGCTAATACTGCAGTATATTTTTAAGAATATTTAAATAATTTATCGCTCTATAAAATTCTATCATTTGCCACGAATACAGCGAAATAAATATGTAAATTTTAAATATTTAGAATAAATTTTAAACATTTCTATATGATTATTTTAATGTCAGAAGTTAATTTATTGCGAAATTGCATGTTCCCAGTGCGATATTTAAACGTTTTTGTTGTGGATTGTGCAAGTTTCCTACGTGTCGGAGGAATATTTGGTGTGATTTTCAAACTGGTTGGCAACTTTAAGCTTTACAAAATTTTGGAACAGTTTATAAGTGTGACATGAATTTACGTAGTGTCAAGTTTTTCGTGACAGGTGGAAGGGTCTCGGCGGGAGGATTCAGAATATATATACTTTGTGGGGTCTGGGACTACCCCCTGAGTATTTAGAGACCGAAGAATATTATGGAGTTTACGTCGATCTACTGCTGTGTTAACTCTCAATCTCCTCCTGTGTTAACCTGTACATACCTGGAAAACTAAAACTCAAAAATATTCATCGGTCTCTGAATACTCAGGGGGTGGTCCCAGATCCCACAAAGTATATATATTCTGCACCCTCCCGCCGAGACCTTTCCATCGGTACCCCATTTATGGGGCTATGTGAGATTTGGCCTTATGACTCTTGCCGTTAGAGCGTAAATATTTGTAAATGGCGAAAAATTAAAATTCGTAACGAATCTGTAAATACAACTCATTCGGATCATTTTTCATCAATAAAGAAGAAAATCCATCCAATATTGTTCAAATGCCAGCTATTTGAAAAAAGGTGAAACATGAGTTACGTTGGCACCTTACTCAGGAGGGGAGCTTCACCACTTGCCACTCACAGAATCCGATGCCCTTTGGATATATTGTAGTACCCCATGAGTGTACTGAAACCCTGAAACGGTTTGACTCCATGGCCACATTTGCGCCCGCCACACCCACTCAAAGGTGCGAAAAACACGAAAAATACCCTGTTTTGGTTCATTAAAAAATTCGCCAAAAATCCAATTTTGATCGGATTTTCAAAAGAATTACATATTCTTCATCTCAGATACTTGCTTTATGATGTCCAATACCAAACTCAACTTTTTTGAAATTTTGATTTTTTCGAAGACGCCGTCAGAAATCTTAGTCAGAAAATTTTCGAAAATATCCAAAAAATAAAAAAAAATCATTTTGGTGTCGAATATTATCAAACAACTATCTGGGATCACGAAAATGCTTAAATTGCGGAAATCCGATCAAAATTGGATTTTTGGTGAATTTTTGAAGGTGATAATTTTCGTGTTTTTCGCACCTTTGAGTGGGTGTGGCGGGCGCAAATGTGGCCATGGAGTCAAACCGTTTCAGGGTTTTAGTACACTCATGGGGTACTACAATATATCCAAAGGGCATCGGATTCTGTGAGTGGCAAGTGGTGAAGCTCCCCTCCTCAGTCACCCGTCCCCCTAAACGCTATCGCTCTGTTATGGGTGAAGCTGGAGCAAAATGAAACACAATAAAATCAGTTGAATACTTATTGCGAAGGAGACCGTATTATTTAGACACTTCACTGGCGTTAAAACTGTTTAACACTTTGCATATGATATGTACAATTAGGCGCACCCTACGACTCCGTAATTTTTGAAATTTCAAAAAGGTGGACGATGTCGGGTCTGTTTCGCAAACAACAAGACTGAAAGGAAATAATAATGGCAAAAAATCAGCCGCAGCAGCCGGTGACGAGCGGTGACGCTTATCGAAACTTGTGCCCACTTACTCCAATGCTTTCTCTGAACTTTGGAACCCTGTTACTTTTAAGCTGGAGTCCATCAATTGATGACATTTTGGAACAATGTTAAAGGATTCATACTCTGTTCATCTGGTATTGAATTTACCCTGAAGCTCGCACTCAGTTAATGGCCACCTAATCACATGCCCTGGCCCACTGTGCAGCGCCCGTACTTGTTACTAATTGGCAAAAAGTATAAAGCAAAAATTCATCAAAATCTGGGTCATGGTCAAATTGGCTGATAGCAGTGAGAAATTGACTTAATTTGTCGGAATTTTCAAAACAAAGTATCGTGTATCTTGTCAAATATCTTAAGATACTTTTCTACCAGGCATATCTAGATAAGATACTTACGCAAGATACTATTCGATGTCCAAAAGTTGTAAGATACAAGATACTAGATACTTCCCTGATCAGGCGACCAAGATACAAGATAAAGATACTATCTTGTATCTCCATCTTTTATTTTGTATCTTGACCAAGTATCTTGCCCACCCCTGCGGAGTTAAGAATATTATACGTTTTGGATAACCTCCTCATCACGGATTATCTCATAATCTCCCTAGCTTTACTTCAGGGTAATAAAAATTGTTGGAAATATTTACCAGAAACTCATAACCCTTCGAACTTCACGCCTAGCCTAGGCACCAGGCCCCGATTTTGGGGAGGGCAAGCGGGGCAATTGTCCGGGGCGCCAGATTTCAGGGGGGCGCCGGTAGGCGCCCGCCTTTACACTAGATTTAATTGAATTTTCCAGTGTTGAATAAAGTTAAATATTAAAGGCAAACAATAAATATTAAAGTTAAAGTTAAAGTTATTCATGGCTTATTTAATTTAATTTGATTTTTCCAGTTTCTGTACACATATTAACAATACTTTAAACAGGAATCTGTTAAGTCGGAAAAAAATTTGATTTGTACAACGCTCCCAGGGTGCAATGAGCTAATTTTTCTGAGACCGACGCCAGAATTTTCGCGTTTGTACTTTGCCCCTCTAGCGGAGTTGGAGGAGCTCAAATTTGAAAACTAACCTAGTCTGCGACTTTTGGCACACAGAGGGGTCAATATTTTTCAACTCTCTTTGCACTAGAAATTTCCCAATTTTGTTTCCTGCAACCCTTTCCAAGCGTTTCTTGAAACTCTCAACACGACCCTCACGACCTGAGACTAAATGTATGGAAAGGTCAAGTCTCACATAAACCCACAGGTGGGGTACCGTTAGCAAGGTGTCGGTGAGGGAATTCAGAAAATCTACATATCGTCCACCTAATTCTAAAAAGCCCTAAGTGCAGTCGATGCTTAATTTTAAAAAGCCCTAAGTGCAGTGGATGTTTAATTTTAAAAAGCCCTAAGTGCAGTCGATGCTTAATTTTAAAAAGCCCTAACTACACAAAAAAAATTCTAAAAAGCCCTAAGTGCAAGCATGTATTTACTTATGGCTAAATCGCGCGATGTAGGAAGAATTGTTTTGTCAAGATTTAGCCATAAGTAAATACATGCTTGCACTTAGGGCTTTTTAGAATTTTTTTTGTGTAGTTAGAGCTTTTTAAAATTAAGCATCGACTGCACTTAGGGCTTTTTAAAATGAAGCATCCATTGCACTTAGGGCTTTTTAAAATTAAGCATCGACTGCACTTAGGGCTTTTTAGAATTAGGTCGACGATATACTTCATCTTTTGTGTGACCTCTTTCTGAAATTCCAAAAATAGAAGAATCTTTTGAGTTTTGCCCGACCTTTTGGCCGATCAAACGTTATGTTTAACTGCGAGGGGCTAAAAATTCGCGAAATCCTGAAATTTTTTGAGAATAAAAAAAAACTCGGAAACGGTTTGCACTCGATTGTGAGTGACAATAATGAAAACCAGAATCACTTTGCATAGCCACAATTTTGATTTTAGTAAGATTCTCCGTGTTTGTAGAAGTGAGTGGGAGGAGCTCTATCAATCCGTCTGCCATTTGCAGCTTAACGATGTGTCAAAATTTTGTAAAGCGGTTTTCGCCAAAAGTTGTATTTATCAAAAGTTTGCAGTTTTGATGAATGAGTTTTCAAATCCCATGGAGTTTTGCAAAAATCATCAAAACACTACACGAAACATTGCTAATAACGAAACTTCATTGTGGGGGGTCGTGCAGCTCCGCTGAAAGTGCCTTTTCCTCACTTTTTCCCAGTGCCCTGGTCAATTTGGTTTTTACCAATCGTAACCCTGATTGCAATAACTAATTTGTAATGAAATTAAATTTGTCCAGAAAAAACAATTCATAATTTGTAATTGTAATTTATCACTTGAACCAAGTTCCTAAAATACTTGGATTACTTTCCAAATTATAAATTACACTAATTCATGCTATCGGTGATGTACATAAGTAAATACAATTTTGCAATTTGATTTCTCAATGATCAGGCCACGTCTAGTAAATCCATAAGCCTCGAATGTATTTTGGATTTTCAAAAATATTTAAATAATGTTGGGATTCACGTCAGCTTTGTAAATGTGGTAAATGTAAATGTCGCTTCCCAACATATTGTGCTTATATATAGTACTTCCCCACGTAGCTTCTCAAGTTTGCGATGTTTACGAAGGGTTGCGATGCGACAAACAATCAGACTCCTTTATTATGTTACGAAATATACGAACCAATGTGCATCTATTATCAAAAGTTTCACAAACTCGTCGTCAAGGGAAATTTTCATTTCTCCTCTCATCTTCAGTTTATACACATTTCGCCGACACCGAGAAGTTGCGACGATGTGGTCCGAACCAACGATTTCGAGTGACGTGAATAGCCACAATGTATTTTGTGTTTTGACAACAAATAAACCGTTCCAAACGAAATGTAGCAAAGCGGTGAAGCAACACGGTCACGCGGTCATGGCATGTCAAAATGATGTCGATTTTTGAAATCCCCGCCCTAAGCTACGTCCAAAACTACGGAAACAAAAAAAAATTTGACATTTTCGACATGTGGCGTCGTCTACACTGTCAACGCGCACCGCACGTCGAAATGATAGCGATTTTTGAAATCCACTTCCACTAATACGTCTAGAACGGTTAAGACAAAAAACTCGACATCTTTGACTGTTGGCGTCCGTGGCGCCATGACCTTATGATCTACAACGCCCATCTTGGAACTCATGCGTACTTAAAAAATTAGAAACACATTGGCGAAAATCCAATGTCCGTATTCGAATTTGTTATGAAGTTATACAGACCGACAGACAGTCTGTCTGTCTACAGACATAGACATTCCCAGTCGGCAATTAGCCTTTAATGTGCTACCGCCGCTGGCCTGGCTATCTCTTTTATTGAGTAGTCTGGTCACCCCACACAGTACATACATAGACATTCCCATAAAGTAATTTCGCTTCGCTTCACCCCTTAGCAGTGCAAGTATGTGTTGATTAATGTACATATTTTGGACTATGAAAAGTCTGAAGTGTATTTCCGTTTTGTATTTTGAAACCGTGTGTTTTGGACATTCCTGGAACCAAAATCCTGCTCTGGTACTACCCTGAAAATTATGCACCTGCTAGAGCGTCAAATATGCGGGGTAGAACAGTGTCAATGTCTTACAATTATAGGGCCCAGAGCATAAGAATTGATTATTAATTACCCCTAATAGGTCTAGTTAATTTATTTGTTAAGATAATAATAACGGTTGTTTCGCAAATGTGGGAAAGAAGATGTTCCTGGTCTATTAGCCCGAGGAAAAGCATAGCCTGCGAGCGCCAAAGGCGCGAGCGGCTAGGGGCGCCAAATTTTTTTTGCCCCGGTAAGATTTTTGGCAAGCTCGGGCCCTGCTAGGCACATAAACAAAATACGACCAGACTTAAAAAGCTGTATGTTGGTAGACAATAATACAATCTGTGTTTACAAATGTATCCAACTTTACATAAATCTAACTGTAGTCTAATTGTTTAATATGCCAAAAAGCGTACGATCACATAATAAATATACTTACATTGAATTATAAATTTGTCTCACAAATTCTAAAAAGGGTGAACACTCTTTAAATTGTACGGATGAAGCGAAAACATGTAAATAAATGACAACTACGCACCCAGTCATACAAATCGTATGGTTTCGATAAGCATTTTGAAACCTTTGATAAGTGGAGAAACGACTGTGTATGACTTTGGTGTAGATCAAGGTTTATCGATAATCAAAAAAACTTTATTTGAACCTTCCCATTGCTGCGTATCTAAATTAGCTTACGTAAATGGTTTTGGTATAAAGTCTGATTAATTGGCTTATAAAGAAATAAAGTCAGTGTTCGTCCAATGGAATAATACTTAACTTCGCCCGACATAATGCATTATCAGGGATTATTTATACGACGCCTACGGTAAAACCAGGCAACCCGGAAGAGTTTTTCACATAATCACCATTAGAATGCCGGCGTGATGGCTTAAATTAATTTTATCAGACTGGCAGATTCTCTTACGTATGTCATACTTACCTTTAGCAAAAATTGTGGTTAAAACGGGGTCAAGAATCATGTGCGGTGTTCATTAACAAATTGCACTTGGATCCTGTATCATCTCGAATCATCCAGCGAGTATAATGAAAGTCTTGCTATCCGTCATATTTGCTGCTGGGTTAATTTCCCATGGGGAAGGTACATATACATACATCCAGCTTTTGTACATAGATTGTCCAATTTTATCAAACGGTATTATTCCATTACTTGCAGGGATATCGTGCTACCAATGTATGAACTTGAGAGGTGTGACACCCGACCGAATTCCAATAGGGATGAACTATGGGACCGGATATGAAGCCGGCAGTCTTAGCAAGACCTTCCGAGACGTGTGCCTCTCAGAGGTTGGTGTTCCAGATACGGATACCTGCATGTCAATGGAGATGCGGATTAATGGCTCCATTTCAATGATTGTTCGAGAATGTGTCACCCTCAGGGATTTGGGAGGTGCTGGGTGCTCGGCTGGTCAAGAACCCTTTCGAGGAGTCCTTTGGTACTTGATTTAAGCTTATGAGCCGTTCCTCTTCAACACCCCTGGCCTTCCTGATTCTCCCGTGAATCTGTGTATCTGTACGGGAGGGGATTGTAACGGGGCTTGTGGGTGTGGGAACTTTGCGGGTAAAGTGGCCCTCGCTGCTCCACTTTTCTGTTTGCAGCACTCATAACCAGTGTTGGAAGCATAGTTTAGGTTAAACGTTTGTGATGGCTTGGAATTATTGTAATTTGTTTACCCCTACGATAAATATATAGGGGTCGAATTGAATAAACTTGATTAAATTGTGACCTGATGGATGTTGGTTTAGCCAGAAATATGCTCATTTTTATGTGTGGGAGAGCTAGTTATTAGTGCGACTGAAAAACACTTTAAATTTAAGAAGTTTCATTAACAGGTTAGTGCATATTTACAGTGGAAGAGAAGAAAATATGTCCATGGAAAATAATGTGTGACTTGAAGAGTCAACTGCAAAAGAAGAACTGGCGAGAATTTATCCTAAAACTAAGAGGTTGAGGAGAGGAACTCCTCCATCCTAATTGATTAAATTAAAGTATGTCTCTGTCACAGGATGTGGCAGAGATCCTTATCTACAAAAGATTAAACTCCGTCCTATACCAATCTCGTGTTAGATGGATTTTCTGGTGGCCAAGCAGAAAACCATCTAATTAAATATTCATACAATATTTTTCCTAGGACACATCAACTTGGGGTTGAATGATCAGTTCAAAACCATGGTGGTGTGTTACACACCCCCGGAAAAGCTGGTGCATAGGTTAAAAAATCACCTTAAATCTGCCAAGTTAACGACGCGGAACCCACAATTTTATTCGGAAAATTAAATATTTATCAATTAGATTTCTTGCTTTTTAGAAAATTAATATAACCTCTCAGAGGTTTGAAACACGGAAACTTAATATTTTCATAAAATCGTGACAATGCAAAATTGTGACACTTTGTGCCCAACAAATTTAAGAAGGTAACCCCTTATCCACCCCAATTAACGACTGGATTGGCGGGCCAAAGGGCATCCCAGTGGTTTGACTCCTTGAGCAGAATTGCTCCTGAGCCTGACCGGTACCTCGGCCCGTAGCTGGACGTGCCAATATAGCGAAAATATGAATTTTGACCCGTCCGACTTCCCCGTTCGATAAACTGGTTGAGACAGGAGTTAAATCGAAGGTCCACCTTGTATCCGCCCCAATGGCTGTCAACCCCAGTTCGACGACCGTGGCCGGTCTATTATTCAAATTTATTTTTAATATTATCGCTATCTTTGAGCACACATAATACGGGGATTGCGACTTAAGGTGCACACTTTAAATTTTCAAGCAATGGTTTAATGTATCGTTGCCGTAAATGTTATCGTGCGGTCTGCACAATTTTGATGCGAAGTAATGCGAACGAGAAAATTTCTTCAAAATTTTAATTGTGTCTCACTTCACATTTGCAACGTATCCTTCACTAAAATATTTGTTAAGGTCAAGAATAATGGAAACCCTAACACAATTGATGTTGGTGTAAAGTCTGCGTTGACCAAACTTGGTGGGAGCCAAAAATTCGTTCTGGTTAGATTTTAGTCTAATTCCGCAAATTCGCAATATCCATACTACAAATCTAAGGAATTTTGATTACCTCGGTTCCTCCAGTGACCACGAAGGGACAGTTGTTCGTCTGCTTGAAATGTATGAGCCAGTCAATCGTCTCGGAACGGATATTTTCCAGGCTGGTACACAGCCTGTTATTTCGATTGGAACAGTTGCCTGTGCTGCTCAGCGAAATTCCTTAAAAAATAACGAGAGAGGAAGACTTAAAAATGTTTAAAAGCACCTTTTAGATTTGGCGCTCGTCGTTTCCAAAAATGTTACCCGCTCCTTGAAGACGAGCCAACGCGGCACTATGGGACAATTGGACCCTGATGAAATATAATGAAGCAAGAAATACATAAGTCTAATTTGATGCTATTTTCTGGTCTTGCGATGTTTTTATCAAAATATCAAATTACCCCATTCCAGTGTGCACGTCGATTAGGAGGAATACAAAAAAGACGATCGCTTTACGATGCATAATGATCGTACATACGTATTTACGTATTTAGCTGCAATGTTTGTTTATGGTTGGGTTGACACAAAATTGGAAGGTTTACTAAATTTGGAATGAATCATGTCACCTAAGTTGCGATGCCTTTTATGTATACCGGTCGAGAACTACATATTATTGGACAACAAACAACAGAGTTAAACTTAAGAGTTTTAAATTAGCTGATTGGTGTAAATTTGTTTTTTCCTGGGTGTCGTGGGGATCGATAAACTCGCATGAAAACCCTTATTCACCAAGGTTCAAATTATGGGCAGTTTATAAATACTATTCCCAACTATTTTAAGGTGCTTGTTATCCCCAGTTTAAAAAGGATTAGCGTATAAATTGTTTATGGAGGTTTGAAACGAACCTAAACTATGTAGTATACAACAAATGGTTTTGCTTCGACTTGGTGGAAACACTGTTAGTGGCCATCCTATAAAACAGTGCCAAACTTCGCAGTTATTACGAATTGTGTATTTTTACACAACTTTCTTACATCAGACCAGTTAGCATTTATTAAACGAAAAATGTAGCCATTGATTACGCAATATTTAGCCACATATTTATGTGGCTTCGCCTCTTTTAGGGAATGATATATTAATTCGCCGCGAGCATGTATGCCGGCCAATATTTCACAGCAAGGAGAGACAAATTAAAGATGACATATTATTTAATTCTGTTCAATTGGGTTGAATTATTTACTTGTCCGACGAGTCATGCGAATTGCGGGGTGAGGGAGTATCACAAGAATATATTTTACATGCTTGGTGTGTGAGCTCATTTAATGCGCTGTTTAAGCTTTGTGCATGTACGTGAAGTGACAGATTTGCAGTGAAAGGATCTGAAAAATGTGGGCTGGTTGGAATCTCAGTAAATCCAGCTCAACATGAAGTACACAGTACTAAGGAAGGAATAAACATAAACATCTGCTCGACTGCGCTCGATAATTTTTGCATACTTATTATCAGAGTCCGGGTAAATATGTTCTTAAAACTTCCGAAATATGTATGTAATATGTTTAATCAAATCGCCAAAATATGTATAAAAAACATTTTTTTTAATTTCTTTTAAATTTCTTCAAATTTAATTTTGAATGCTAAAAAACGCTTCTACATTTCAATGTGACAAACCAAAAGCATTTTCACATACTTTGGTGTCGTATTTCTATGATGATCGGTCAAAATTAATTTAGAGCGTACTTTAGGCACACCCTAGCATTTTGAGTTCAATATGTATCAAGTATTTACAAATTATTAGTGTCTGATTTTTTTTTAAAAAGAGCATTTATTTTTGACCAAATTGCCAAAATATGTAAAAACATATTTATGTGCGTTAAAAAATGCACATTTTAGGCAAAATCGTCGAAATATGTAACAACATATTTATATGTACCAAAACCACGAAATATGTAAAATATGTAAAACTATTTTTTTGACCTTGTGACCTATGCATGACCATTAGCAAGATCCCAAAGTTTCAACTCAATCGGGTTGTTATTGAAAAAGTTGAAAATACATACATTTCCGGACTCTGCTTATTATTTGGGCTGTTAAACAACCCTTCCAAAGTGGAAGTTCCAACGACCGAGCAGAATATACAGAAAAAAGTAGGATTAAAATTACGCAAGGCATTTCCATGAATTTGTTGTGTAATTTTATCCTTTTAATCCTGTAAATTTGATACAAGAAAAATATTGATTGCTAACGTAATTTGATTTCTGTAGATACTTTGCCATTATAAATTTCGAAGCCTCAAATTGCACGTTCTTTTTTGTGGGTGTAACTATAGATATGTGCATAAAGCAACGTATATTTTTTGGACATAAGGTGGGTGCTTCGTGCTGTTGCAAAAATTTAATTTACCACAGACCAGACCAGATTGCATTAGTTGATTACATTCAATTACTATAATTATCTTACACGCAGTTTATGTACCTATCTACATATGTAGACTATTGTGGCAACAAGCCCGCATTAGATATAAGTTTGGTTTCTGTTTCTTTATAATCATAAATAAACCTCAAGCAACGCACATACGGAAGTAGCTTCAGCGACTTTCTTCTATCTCTCTACGAATATTCCATTTCAGTAAACATATCATTTCGCCCCTCGCTTCGATTTTATTTTGTTTCATTTTACCCCAGCCGTACCCATGACAGTGCAGGAACACTTAATTTCGCTATACTGCTTCTAAATGTTCAATTTCAGTAAAAACCTCATTTTGCCCCGACCACTCCCTCTGGGTGTGAGGGGTGTGGCACATCGTAGAAAATCTTAATTTGGCTATATTGCATCTGTAGATTCAATTTCTGTAAAAATCTCATTTTGCCCCGACCACACCCGCTGGCGCTAAGTGGCCCCAAAAGTTGATATGATCCTCTCCCGGGAGTAATATGTGTGATGCTGAAATCCGATCTCGATTATCTTTATCCGTTCTCCCGTTATCCTGCTGACGCACGGACGGACAAAGTCTTCACATAAAGTAGCTGAAGCTACTTAATAACGGGGAATTTATTCCATCAGTGGAATTATTTATTTCTTTTATGTATAAGGTACGATTTGCACACAGCACCTACTACGTATGTACATATATTAGTACCGTAACTATCGTTAGATAGTTACTAATTACCGGAACGTGCGGTAATTCGCTATTATGAAAACGAAATTGGTAGACAAATGCTTTCGTATTTTTATATGTATATCTAGCAAAATAGTTAGCAAAACCTGTATATTGAATCCTTTACATACATAAGAACACTATAAAATTAGAAGCTCGGTAATTGAAAAGTAAGTTACCTTGTTGTGACTTTACCATTCGTAAATGTGCACAGGTAATCTATAATTTAAAAACATACATACAGATATGTACGTCCCAGTTTAATGTGTCACTTATGTATGCAAATATTCTAGTTCTTCTGCTATAGGGGACTGGATTTTATAAACTGATACGAAACCAACCTCCAATTTGACTCACGTATGTAGTTCAATAACAATTTGTCCACTTTGGTTCTTCCGCAGTAAGTAAAATTTGAGGTATTATGTCCCGTTATTTAGGTTAGGTTATTAACTTCTTCTGTTATTCCACCTTCTAATAAACCTTATTCTACCTTCTATTATTAAATTCAAATGGACGTGCATATTTACATAAGTGTACGCAGCCTGCAATTTTATTAGGGAAAAATCCTTCATTCTGTAGGAAAAGTCAGTAATGCAAAGTTGGTTTAACCTAATCAAATAAAGGGCAAAATGTATTCGGAACATTTTTACAAAATATTTCACCTCGAATTCCTCCTCGCTTCGAGCATTGGCGTTTGTAGTTTCCGGCTAAACCGGAAAACCCGCCTGTTCTACACGACACCCTCTTTGAAGGGGGGATGTCTCTTAAGCTTGGGCTTTATCGGGCTCCACATTGTTTTTCATTCGTGGGCAACGCTACGAATCGCGATGACCGGAGGGGATTCCGACTCGCACTTTTACATCAGCTACATCTACGCGATCATTTCATGGTTGGAATTTTTTGCGGTTCTAATCATCAAATGGAATGATGACGACATTCTGCACGTGATTAATCAGCTTTTGCGGTATATCGTCGACTTCTACGGTAATTAGAGAGGATTCTGTACACTCTGAAAAATAATGTTACCCTAAGTTATGTCACATAAGTTAGGACATAAGTTACGTCACGTAGCACTTAAAAACAATCTTTACATTTTGAGAAGTTAATGATAACTGGATATTTGAAGCGAAATAAACTACAGGGTAAACCGCCAAGTTTACCTTGGGTTTAGGTTAGTTTACTTACAAGGGACACTCACGACCTGTCGTTTGTTTCCAGGGTACCCACTATGTTTTTTAGAATCTACTAGGACCCTAAATGAAGGATCCATTCTTATTTCCGTGTAAAACTCATATTTGGCGCCGTGGCGTGGCGCCAAATTCGCCAAATTTGTAGGTTTTTATTTTTAAAACCGCCATAACTTTTGAAATCCTGGGCGGATTTTCAAAAAAATTTCCAAAAATCATAAAAAATAGTTCAACTTTCGTATGCAATCAAGTTTTTCAAAATATTGATTGTTTCAATTTTTGTCAAAATTTTGAGATTTTTTTACACGTGGAAATTCGGCGAAAAAATCTTAAAAATGTCTTAAAAATAAAAATTTTACATGTCTTATTTTTTTCTTCAAAGTCTGACCTGTGTGATCATTTTAAGTCCAAAATTTTGAAAATCCAACAGAAACTGCTAAAAGTTATGGAGGTTTAAAAATGGTCGAAAACGCAGATTTTTAAGTTTGGCGCCACGCCACGGCGCCAAATATGAGTTTTACACGGAAATAAGAATGGATCCTTCATTTAGGGTCCTAGTAGATTCTAAAAAAACATAGTGGGTACCCTGGACACGAACGACAGGTCGTGAGTGTCCCTTGTTAGCTTAAAATCGAAGGCGTGATTAATTTTAGAAAGAGTTTAAATGTGCAATCATGGTCACAGTTTATAAATTTAGTATCCAAGCTCTTTTCCTTGCAGTCAAATGGGTTCCTGGTTACGTTCCGACCAAGGATTTTGTCTCCATGGTGACCACACTGCTGTGCTTCCTTCTCTTAATCGGACCAAGTGTAGCGGTTCCTTTGGCCCCCTTGTTTTTCCTCTTGTTCCCATCGTCCCCTGCCCACATCTACTCACTCGTTCCCCACAACGCCTCCGACATCCTGAAGTGGGCAGTATTCGTTTTGAATGTGGCGGACTCCAGCCTCATTTCCGCCCTGGTGTGGTACGGGCTTATGACCTTCATCACTGTAGCGATCGTATACTTTTGTAAGTAATGAAAAACAAAAAAAAAATCGCTGTTTAGTTTCTTGCGGGTTTGCCATATTTCTTGGACTACGAAGTAGGAAACACAAGAAATGCAAGGTGCATGAAACTGCCCATCTAGCCGCGCGTCCGATTTATGAGGGAACAGCGGCGGGGGTTCAAACTTATTAAGATTGGGTTGGGTTATTGTGCCTTACATTTCTTGCAGGGTAAAATAGCTGCAAGAAATAAATTACTTACGGTTTACATAATTACTTTCACCCGCTATACTGAAAAATATGTTTATTTTTGCATTATACTTGTTTGCAGAGTGGCTAAAGTTATAAAATATGGTATAAGTTAAAGTGGCTAAAGTTATAAAATATAATTCAATTAATTCTTAGTTTCAGCATTTCCCCTAATTTGTCAGGAATTTCGGGCTAAGAATAAAAACCTGAGGTATAAAACGAGTGATGAGTTGCGCCAGGTGGATAATCTTACACGAGAGTACCGCTGTATAGAACTGATCCACAAGGAATTCATGCGCACTGCGGGCCTCGTGTTTCTTGTCTTCCAATTCTGTACGGCACAGTTCTCACTCGTCTGCAATTACTCGGTCATCAAGGAGTGGGAAAGGTTGGACATCTTCACGGCGGTAAGGAGAGCGAAATTCAAATAATTTACCGATCGCTAACATCCCTTCAGCGTTAGTGAGTTTCCTAGTCGTATATGATACATCTTAGGGCACTAACAATGGAGGTCTCCCAACGTATGCTCTGAGATTTGGACGAAACTGGTGTCAATCGATCACAAATTAAATTAGTATGAAATTTGCAAATGCAACTATCTGCAAATGCGCAGGTTTGGCGGAGATATTTGCATAAAAAGAGGTGAAAACTCGCAAATTTGTAAGGCAAAATTCGAAAAGTGTAAAATTGGCGCCGCGTTTTCGCCTCTTTTAATGCAAATATATCCGCCAAACTTGCGCATTTGCAGATAGTTGCATTTGCAAAGTTCATACTAATTTAATTTGTGATCAATTGACACCAGTTTCGTCCAAATCTGCGAGCATACGTTGGGATACCTCCATTGTAAGTTTGTGGGATATTGAGGGTGCAGGGCTGGTGACGATTTCTTGTAAGACTTTCCAGAGTAGAAATTTGGACTGCTTTCCTCCATAAATCTGTCCCAATTTTCTGCAGAAAAAGCTTAATCATGGCAATTGGAGCAAACCTGACAATAATTATTCATACACAGTTCTGCAGAATAAAGTCCACAGAGACAAAGATTTTCGGCAGGATTGTGCAAAAAATATGTAGAGTAAAAAATCTATCGATCTTTTGTCGAATATTTTTAATTGATGATTTCTATCTGGAAATACCTCCCTAAATGTCCATTATTTATCGATAAGATATGTTTTATGCAATTAGCCATATTTTTGCAGGGAATGCTTGTCTTGTTTGGGGTCACTCTGCAGACTATTTGGGCCATCGTGTTGGAACTGTCGGGCCGTTTTCATACGCAATCCGTACGAACGTTGGCGTCCTGGAAGGGTCTGGACTTTAAGACGGGGGCAGAAAAGAAATACATGTCCAAGTTTAAGAAGGGGTGCTACCCACTTTCAATCGGAGAACGGGGCTTGTTCATCGTGAGGAGGATTTCCGTCCTCAAGTTTTTAAGGGCAATTGTGAAAGGGACGTTCAGAGCGTTGCTGACCATTGGAGGGACCGCGAAGCATGTTCCTTAGTAAAAATTAGACTGGACTGGTATAAAAAAGTCGAAGTTTCTTCAGTGTACTTAGAATGATCTGATTTTTGCATCTATCTAGATGGATGATTAGATAGTGTCGAACTCTATGCGACACGAGCAGAGATTTGGGTTAAGAGGAATTTGACTAGGTTAGAATGTTTCTTAAGGGAAAAATTGTATTTATAATTTAATTGGCACGTCTTATTAAGGAACAAATAATAGTGATAATTCTTATAAGGCATATATTTTTAGATAAATTTATCGTAATTAGGAGACCCTAGTTTGCTTGTATGCCACGTCACTAAAGAGACGCCGATTTTTAGACGACCCACATCTCGGGAGGTCACGCTTATTAAGCTTAGCATAAGTGGAGTTAGACACATTCAAAATAATTCGGTTGCGATTATAGTAGCTTTATTGTATTTGTATTTTAATTCGAAATAATAAAGCTGACATATTTGTTCAATTAATAGCAATTTTTTAGAAGGGCATAATTGCATAAATATGCAATAATATTCTGCATCATAGTGAAACAACTAAAATTATACATATACATATTGAAGCCTTCCATTTTAATAAATGCATCCATTTAAATTTTAAATTTTGAAGCAAGGTTGGCCATGTTCCAATCTGTTCATCAAGTTGACTTTGTTGCAGTAGAACAATTACCTTTGTCGGTACTGTGGAATTGTATGAGTACCAGTAAATTTGTTGTAATTGTAGGCAAAATCTGGATGAAAGGAAGTAATTTACAGTGGTTTATTCATATATCTAAAACAAATCGTGCTACTTTTCGTTAAAAAATAGAAACAAGAATCTGAAAAATTGAAAGCACATTTTTTTACAATGTAATTGAACTCTGCCAGGTAAACTTGAATTTTTTATATATGTTTTTTAACAAACAATGAATAGATGGAAGAAATCTTACGGGTGTGATGATTCCTAAATTTAGGGTCATGAATTTCGTCTTGATCTGAATTGCCTCCATGTTTTGTAATCTGCAAGTCTGAAAAAAGAAAAAAAGAAGATTTCATTAAATCTTAAAAAAGTTGGGTTAGGCACAAACATTACCTTGCAGTTGTTCAAATTCTTCAAATTATCCAACTTTCCCAACTCCATTAACATATCCCGACTTTCTGATTCCAACTCTGACCCTCGTCTGGCCACCATGTAGAGCAGGTACGAATAAACAACCATGGTCAGAAAGTTTTGCACAATTTGCGAAAACATGGGCTGCTTTCGAGACATAATTGAGGCGATGAAATACCCAGAAAATATAATTCGCAGCACGCTATGACCAATATCCAAGGCAACCCAGGTACCAAACAATCTCCCAAATTCTACAACCTGCTCCCTCACACTATTATAGACATCAATTATTTCGTTGTAATCCCATTTTCTTGATAATGAATTCAATTCAGGGTCATTATCTCTAAAGTATCTTTGCAATTGGGGCCTCTTCTTGTCCGAGCTGATATCGTCACCAGGACGATGGAATTCTGGCATTGGGTTTGTAGTTTTAAGTTGGTTCTTTACCATGGCCCTTATTCTTTTCAAAATTTCTAAATACCAGATAAGCAAGAACACCTGGAGAAAAGCGAAGGCGGAATGATAGTATCCCAGCACGACTGGGCCCACTCGGAGAAAAATAACTTCCCGAGATGGAGAAATTCTTGACACGGTAAAGTACATTTCCACACTCCAGTACGTAATTATTGCGAGGAAAGTGGCAAACTCTATCTTAAACCGGAAATAATACCGATTTTTAGTTTTTTTTGATGAACCCAATTTGCTCAGAAGTAGACAGAAGTCTTTGTAAAAATTGAAAAGCTTATTTCTTTCGAGTGCCATGTCCATCTTGATGAAAGTAGCGCAACACATGTGAGACACGGATTTGATGAAGAGAACGAAAAAATACGTGCCCCGAGATTTCAAGATATTTAGGATTTCAGTAGTTGAACATGATGAAATGTTATGGATGAAAGTAGCGAAGAGGAGAAGTGAAAAGCAGGTGAAAAACAAGGTTGGAAAGTATTTTATTCTGGCGAAGGCGAATAGTTTTTTAAGACGAGGGTAAGAAGTTGTTATGGTTTTACTATTAGTGAAAGTTTCCAGTGAAACGGGGACAAATCCGAGGACTTGGAAAAGGCGAAGATAAAATAGCTCCATTTTGTCAATAGTTTCAGTGGGTTGAAGAGAGTTAAATATGAGGAGGCATTGGGAAGAGAATATCTCTAATGAATGTGAGACAGGAGATGCATGTACATATATACTTTTTTTTTTACTTTGAATGCGTACAAGTGGGATACCATTAAACATTATAACGTCAGTAGGGTTGGACTTGTTGGGATGGAAACGTGAGACAATATTATTTTACGGTAATTGCATACCACAGTGGGCCAGGACATGTGATTTGGTGGCCATTAACTGAGTGTGAGCTACAGGGTAAATTGAATACCAGATAAACGGAGTATGAAGCCATTAACATTGTTGCAAAATGTCATCAATTGATAAACTCCAGCTTCAAAGTAACAGGGTTCCAAAGTTCAGAGAAAGCATTTGAGTAAGTGGGCACAAGTTTCGACAAGCGCCACCGCTCGCCACCGGCTGCTCCGGCTGATTTTTTGCGATCATTGTTTTCCTTTAGTCTTGTTGTTTGCGAAACACACCCAACATCGTCCCACTTTTTGAAATTTCAAAAATTACGGAGTCGTAGGGGTGCGCCAGATTGTATATATCATATGCAAACAGTTTTAAACAGTTTTAACGCCCGTCCGTAAAATATCTAAGTAATACTGTCTCCTTCGCAATAAGTATTCAACTGATTTTATTGTGTTTCATTTTGCCCCAGCCTCACCCATAACAGAGCGATAGGATTTAAGGGGACGGTGACTGAGTAAGGTGCCAACGTAACTCATGTTTCCCCTTTTTTCAAATAGCTGGCATTTGAACAATATTGGATGGATTTCCTTCTAGATTGATGAAAAATGATCTGAATGAGTTGTGTTTACAGATTCGTTACGAATTTTAATTTTTCGCCATTTACAAATATTTACGCTCTAACGGCAAGAGTCATAAGGCCAAATCTCACATAGCCCCATAAATGGGGTATCGTTGGCGGGAGGATTCAATATATATATACTTTGTGGGATCTAGGACCACCCCCTGAGTATTTAGAGACCGATCAATATTTTTGAGTTTTAGTTTTCTAGATATGTACAGGTTAACATAGGAGGAGATTGAGAATTAACACAGCAGTAGATCGACGTAAACTCCATAATATTCTTCGGTCTCTAAATACTCAGGGGTGGTCCCAAACCCCACAAAGTATATATATTCTGAATCCTCCGGCCGAGATCTTTCCAATGGTACCCCATTGATGGGGCTACCTGAGACATTCAGGCTGATTTGTATTTTTGGCCAAAATTTATGATACCTGGCCCACTGTGCATACGTATGAGTCATTAGCAAATTGAGTTTATTACGCTTATTAAGGCTGGGTGGAGTAATTGGTTTTTCGTCATGTTAGGACAGAGACATTAATAGATATGTCTATCAGGCTATGAATGTACGTATGTATGCCATACATACGGTGGCTGTTTTTATGAATACGCGCTGATGAATGAGAATCGACTTGAATAACATCCAATCTTCATTAGCAATTTTAGTGATTACAAGTGATTAAATCTGTGTTTAAAAAAAACAAAGTCCTGTCACTCAGCTCAATACGGAAATTGTGTTCCAACCTTTTTATCACATACAATTTAGTCACATGTCTTAATAAAATATGTGAAGAAAATATGAATCCAAATTCTTGGAATTTTCATGAAAATGCAAACATTGAGTTGAGATGGAGTATTAGATAATATACTATTTTTTTGTTCAAGTATATATACCTGGAAAAGGAAAATATAGATGGGAAAGCTTCCTTTCGGTATACTCTCTAGACTTGGATTTCGGACAACAGCTGTGCCGGCAAACAATCCTCGTAATTTTATTTTTTATCCTTAGAAGGATAAAAAATAAAATTACGTATTCCGCTATCATATGGAAATAATATTCCGAACATAAATGGGTTCAAACATTAATTTACAAGTAGGTGGCAGTGTTCCGATCGATTTCGATATATATCGTATCGTATCGTTCGATACGATTTCGATACGAAACGATACGCCTTCGTATCGTATCGAAAGTTTCGATACGATACGATATGTCGTATCGAATCGACGATTTCTATATAAGCCCCACATCGTATCGTATCGTATCGAAATTTTCGATATATATCGAAACATGAAATTCGTCAAAATATAAAATGACCTTGTTCATCATGACCTGATTTATTCTACCATTCCACATCGAAAGCATGATGGGAAAGCAGAAAACGTGTTACATGAATGTATTTATAGTTTAGTAAATAAATCATATTACGTCGGTAGTTTAAAACTTGAATGAAAAAGCTTAATTTTCCATATGCTCTGAAAGTAGTTATGATTGTTATTATTAGCATCATCTCCTACTGTAATACGTCACTTTTATCTTCATCAAATTATTCCACTATAACACTAAATAGTTGGAATATTTTCCAAAACAATTTGTGTCAATTACTGTGAAATTTTTCTAGAATTTAGCACATAATTTTCGAAATATAAACATTCTGATTTACTATCAGGACCGATGGGGTAACTCATATATAAAATTTGAAATTCCAACACATGTATTTGTTGTTTTTGAGTCGTTTTTACACTAATTTCAGCTAAATATATCAACTTTTAAAACTCGACTTATAAAATCGATATATATCGTGTCGTATCGACGATTTTCGATACGGTACGATATGATACGATACGAAGCCCTGTATCGTATCGAAAAGTTTTCAAACGACCGATTCGATACGATACGATACGGTTTCGATATGAAATGTTGCTATATCGTATCGTTCGCAACACTGGTAGGTGGGTTTATGCTTACGACTGGGCATTATCACTGACATTAATTTGACAAATAGTGTTGGCCACTAAAATTAAGCCCTGGCCTGAGGTACATACAGTTTAATTTAAGCATTTATGTACATTGGGTACCCAAAAATGTTTGCATTGTTTAAATTATCCAAACGCCACCGTTCTTAACTCACATTGATAAAACAAAGCTCCCCTCTTAACTTGTGTCCTTGTATGTACAACGCATTTGCCACTAATAACGCCGTACTCGGGATAAGAAGTTAAACCCTGGGTGGCAAACAAATCAAAGCCATCCATGCACTCTTGATAAACTGGTAATAAATTGTCATCTACCGGAGTGCATATATGACTCTACCAGCGCGGTAATAACGATCATTACCAATTAATTACGGTAATGAAAAATTTACCACATGGAAACAAACTAGTACCAATCCAGTTGAAAGTTATTACCAAATCAAATCAATACCAGCACGGAGTATATATAGTCAGACTAATTGTAAAAAGACCCAAGTGCACTTGATTCTTAATTCTAAATCAACTTAAGTGCAAAATAAAAGTTATAGGTTATTGTGCACTTAGGTCGTTTTAGAATTAAGTATAGACTGCACTTAGGTCCTTGTAGAAGTAGTCCGACGATATATGACCTTACCAGATTTTTAAGTGTGTCTCTAAACCTGCATACTTAAATATGTACCTGAATACAATTATGAGGTACATACATTGAACATAAATCGATCATGATAACTCTGTCGGCACAACTTACCACTACCTCATTCAACCATTCGACCAATATAAAAATGACGCACATTTCGGCAATGAAATCTAGTCGAGTCGGATGAATAAATTGCCCAACTTCAGGTTCAAATCATGTCCCGTTCCTTCCTTATTTTCATCGTCTTCGCGACGGTATCTTTAGCGGTTGCAAATAATGCCGAGATTTCCTTGACTGGGAAGACTAGCGGCCCATTTGGCGTTGTCACTCCGTAATTGGCTTCTTGCTAAATTTTAATTCTCTAAATTTAATTAACGATGAGGTTTTTATATATTTTTAATTTAGGACGATTGTTTGTGGGGGATTGGGAAATCATGCCGTTAACGACAAGACATAATCGGGAACGTAGAGGTCTCTAATTCCCAGATAGAATAAAGTGCGGCAGAGCACGATACATAAGTAGCGCAAGCATGCGACCACACCCCCTGGCGCCGAGGGGTGTGGTCCAAAAGTTTACGGGATCCTCCCCCTGGGGTCATGTGTATGATGCCGCAAACCGATTTTGATTATCTTGATGCGTTCTCGAGTTATAGTGTTGACAGACAGACGGACAGACAGACGGACAGACTAACTAACCGATCGCATAAAGTAGCTGGCGCTACTTAATAAAGTAACTGCTGTCATGGAGACGAGGCAGGACTGAATATACCAGGGGACCAGGTTTGAGCGATGTGTCATCCGTATCATCCATGTCACCCTGTCGAACGTGATGTACTGAAGGTAGAGCCATTCAGTGAGTACTGTGAAGCGTTGAAGAGCTTGAAATTGGGTGTAAGTGATGGTGGAAATAAGTCGAAATTTCTTCATTCTTAACATGCTAGCAATTTAAATTGTGATTTTGAGTAGTCGTAATTAGGACCTAAATATGTGCGTCTGCAGTTGGCTTCTTGAAAACATTTGAGCAAAAAAGATATGAATTTGTACAGTAAATGAATGGAAATCAGTGTATTTGGTTACGTTGAAACGCGAGGCATGAAAGCTTATCCTGATGTACGTAGTTACAACTGTACTCGGCGATGATGTTTTCATCACTTACAATGCAAGTCATTTACGTGTAAAACTCAGATTTGCATGGGGCCAATTTTATTTTGCTCAGCACATAAAATAACCATACCCGTATTTTTGCATTTTTTTATGATGCGCTAATTTGAGCGCTAGGCGCGAATTTTAAACTGTTCTCCAGCCAAAACCTCGGGTTTTAAAGATTCTCTAACTTTTTTAATTTGAGCGGGAATCAAAAAAATCGAAAACATGGTTCTTCGAAACGACTTACTTTACTTAACCAAACCTTTAAAATTCGCGCCTAGCGCTCAAATTATCGCATTAGAAAAAATGCAAAAATACTGGTATGCTTATTTTTGTGCCGAGCAAAATAAAATTGGTCCCATGCAAATCTGAGTTTTACACGTAAAAGACTTGCATTGTTAGTATCATGTGTTTCGCTCACATTTAATACCACTTAAACCGAAAATTTTAATGGAAAATTTTAGTACTTTTTATGTGCGTCATCAAACCACAAGCTGTGCAACGAATATGTGCAAATATGTAATTAGTATTGCAATATCAGTACACAATACTAGATAAGTTAGCAAAAAATGTATCCAGTTGTACTTTGAATCCTACTCTACCTAAAGTGAGGTAACAACCAATTTAGTTAATTTAAATTATTAGGTGCTTAAGTTTGGCATACGTGTCGATATCCCAGCGTAAGAAGATGTGCTGAATTCATTATCTCATACGGGCAGATGGCACAAACTGGGGACGATTATTGGAAATTACATAATAAAATGTTAACACTACATGACACGATAATGGCAGGTTTTTAATAGAATTATGAAGCAGCATACAGTTTAATAACAACATAACTATCTACATGCGTAGCATTACTTCACAGAATTTATCATATTTGTGGAATGTTTTTTTAACGAAACTTATTTATAACAGATGTTGGCTGCCAGACGTTTTTTATTGCTCTATCAAATTTCAATGCGAGCAGGTGCTCAAGATCTTTTGTACAGCTTGTATCGTAAAGAGTTTAAATATTTGTCGTGAGCAAACTTTGTATTATTAATGGAATCAGCTCTTTTCACTTAATCCCACATCCAAATTCTTAGAATTTTGCGGCATCTAAATTTGTAATCTGTTCAAAATCCGCCTATTTAAGGAAATATGTTGTACATCCTCCACATCCAGTACCAATCCAACTTTCATACACAGATATTAACATTTGACCCCGCAAGAAGATCGACACCGTAAAAATGAAAACCTTATTTTTCATAACAATCCTCGTCTTGGCAATGTTTTGCATACTTGAGGCCAACATGGTAAGTTAAATTAATGTCTGTAACGTCATGTTAAAACTAGCGGTTGAAAATAATCTTACCCTTTTAAAAAGTAGGTCCATTCTGGATTGTGAAAACATTAGGTAAACTGTACAAAATCCATAGTAAAGTCTATTGTCATGAATTGAGAGTGAATTTACTCGAGAATCCGGAGTTCAGTTTGTTTTTAAAAGGTTTACACTATTGTTTAGTGTTTTTAAGAGAAACTATTTAGTGCTCACCAAAGAAAGCTAAGCATTCCGTAAATTTGCAGATTGAAGGTGCCTGCAATGGGATAAGGAGAGCACTTTGTCACGCCCGATGTGCCCAAAAAGGGTTCGCCTGCATTTGGCCGGATGGCAACTGCAAGTGCGAAACTTTCGATTGATCAGGCAAAATTAATGTTGGCTTGGTTAATGTCAAAATTAATTGAATACATGAAAATTAAATTTGTCGTTTCGTAATTTGAAATAAAATTCTAAAAGGTGCATAAATATGTATCGCGTTTGCAAAAATTCAAAACATGTTGTCTTTCATTTAAATGCATGTTATGTTCATTGCCAAAATCGTTTCATGAAGCATGCTGCACGTGTTGGAAAATTATATCCTTCAAGAAGGCTTATATAGTATTTATAAGGTGATATCCTGCCCAGTGCTCGGGATGGGTGCAGAAAAACAAAATAATTATTTTCATGGACATCCTGCTCATCTTATCAAGATAAATATGTATTTGATTCGTGTTGTTCATTTCGGTTTAATAATTTTTATACCTCTTTAAAATGCGAAACATATGTAGAAATTGTGCAAATCCATATTTGCAATTTCGCGTATCGTGCATATTTAATGTACATAGACTATAATTATTGGTCAATTAATGCATAAGTGTAAATGAGATAGGAAATGAAGCAATGTTAGTTTCTATCTGTATATAAATACGCACATGTAATATTCTTGTGTTTGATTGGACAAGTTTGTGAGGATGAACCGTACAGACGTTAGCTTTTAAACGAGGTAATGATTCTATATTTTCTTTTCGAAAGTCTGAAGTTACATAGATAAAACATTAATATTTGTGCTTTACATGTTAAAGCGTTAGCATTCGGGCTAACGTGCATTTTGCTGATTTAACTCGATCTCACTTTATCTACGAGAAAATTTTTATTCATGTCAACAAGAGTCACATAATTAGGAAATTTATTAACATAAGTGACCAAATTGTTTAATGAACAGTAGAATTTATTAATTTCCTATCATGATTTTTATCAAAATCTACATTCTTATCCTCGTACGTCTGAACTTGAGAGGCACCCGGGCTTCTCTCCTACTATTCGATATCCCTAATTTGTTCAGAGAAAGCACGATAACCTATATTTTTGAGGATGGATTAAACTACGAGACTTCAGTCGGCCCAAACCTCCGCTACAGCAACCCTTACACGCCACAAGTACTTCTCTCAATAACTCATAATATGTCCGACTTGGTAATAGTGAGTAAGATGGAACGTTATGCAACTCTTAGAAACGATTTAGAAGGCATCACAATAACGTTAAAATCATCTTCGAATCAGGCCACATTTACGCTCTTTGGTACAAATCTACCCACTAAAGATAATAGGCTCATCACCCCACGGATGCTGGACCTTTGTGACATTATACATCTCACAGCGCGCTTTATAAACCCGAACTATATCTTCGTCAGTAAAGGCGAGATTCCAGGTTACATAAATTGTTTCTCTTTGTACACCGTAATCCCGACCAGAGCAAAACTAATCGTTTACTCTGAAAACTCAATCTGGATTCCGTGCGTGAGTTGTGAAAAGATCAGCTTGATTCGGATCCCAATCGTTTCCCTCAAGTCGATTGACAACATCTGGGATGCCGCGCTTTCAAATATGCATCAAAATGTTGTCCAATTCGTCGATGAGTCTAATTCAATTCCACCAGGTTATAGGACCCGGTCGCGTGAATGTGGGCCTCATTTGACCCCAGATATCTGGACGGAGCAACCTCTCTCGCTCTGTATCTTATGGACGTTAATGGAGTCGCTGAATTTCACGCTGATCAGACGACTCCACTTCGGACACAAAGACGAGTACCGACTCATGTACGATATAGTTTTCAATATAGCGGCAACTGATGCGCTGATCTCGGTGAGCTTCAAATTTCAAATTTCCACCAAGACATTCCCCTTCGTCGTCGTGACTTCAAGGCCATCCTTGCAAAACGACTTTGCAACTTATCTCTCCCCACTCGACGGTCCGACGTGGCTTTTCATGCTCCTGTTCTCCACGGTAAAGGCAGTAATTTTACTTTCGAAGAACCGCGTCGACGTTATTGGAACGATTTTGAAAATTAATTCCCTTCTACTCGGTCAAACGGGGTGTCCCGATTGCCTCGCTGTCTTCAAGAGTAAGATGTTGCTATCGGTATGGCTTTTTGGGTGTTACATCCTCACGGGAAATCTCTACGCTGGGGGAATCTACTCCACCTTGACGGTAATGGTTAGTCCGCCAGTGCCGAAAACAATGGAAGCTTTGGTTCAATCAAAGCTGCCTGTCGTTACTATGACATCGTTTATTACGTGGACGGACAAGAATGAACCTGTCATGACATCGGTTGTCGCGGCAATGATAAAGGCAATTCAGCCGCCGGTATCTGATATTATCAAAAAATTTGAATCCCAGCTAATTTTTCCAGACCCATACCGCTATTTTTTGCCAGTGTTTATAGATTCTGTTAGCAACTCGAGCTCAATTCCTTTGCTCGGGGGGAACGCTAGTTTAGATGCAGGCAGGCCATTTGGGCTGCTGGATGAGGAGAAAATAACGACTTTCTTTGGCCGAACGGTAAATTTGAAGGGTAAAAAGTTTGTGGTTCCTAATCGGGAAGAAACACCATTCGCTTACTCTGTATTAGTTTGCGGGTGGGCGAATTCGTTCGGACCCCAAATATTTTCCAAGATGGAAGCATTTGAATCGTCAGGACTTAAGGCAAGATGGACGGAAGTAACGTATTTTCGGAGACGACTCTCTACAATGAAACAACATTACGAGAACATGAGTAGTAAATATTTCAGGAAGGAATTAGCAAAGGCGAAAGCTCAAATTGAATTTCATGAATCTCAACCCGTTTCTTTCCTAGCGGTGAGATATATGTTTGCTGTATGTGCTGTTATTTCACTCTTGGCAGGATTGGTTTACCTTTGGGAAGACTCAAAACGTGTTTGGGGCACTGCGAGACAATTTAGAAAATGGACTTTGAAGTTATTTATGCGATGGTGGTCAAGCAAAAAGTGTCTTAGAAGGTGAAGAAAAGCATGCTGGATTTAATTTAGAGTAGAATCTCTTTCCAAGAAGTCCACAACCAGAAGAAAATGGAAGTGCACAAAATTGCTACCAGTCTAACTATAGATATGCAGTTGGACACGCTGGTACCTTATCAAACAAACTATACCAAATTAAGCGTAAGATACTAGTAGTATGATACTACATCCAGCTTTCTAGAATTGAGACGGTGGCGCCAATTTATGTGACTCCTCGCAGTCATCATTGGCACCATCAGGCGTTCATATGTAATTCATCAGAGCAAGTAACAAGATTCAGGGGCAGAAGCGCCTAAAAATCTTCGGGCACACGGCCGCGTCGACCTCTATGTTCAGTAACTCCATACCAATACTTTGTTCGCACGCTGAAAGTGAAAAACTTCAAGTCAGACAATATTAATATGTATTGTCCACGTGCCTATGTATATCGTGAGAAATAAGTCCTCATGAATACATTTAGGCCATGCATGTTATCGAGCTTCTAGTGGCTTCGAAGTTTAGACATATTTGGTAAAGGGATTCCACCATCTCGCGAGATTCACAGTTCTCTTGATACAAGTTAAAACCATAAAACGCCAATAATGTTGGCCGGTGCACGAATAAATATGTAATGAACATACTGAGCAGAAAAAAATAAGGGCATCATCGAAAAGGCGAGTTGGTGGTTTTGGGCCGCCTATCTTATCCGTCTTTAGTTAAACCTGCACACTACGTAGAATGGGTGCATGGGCGGGCTAAACATTATTTTCCCTGAAAAAATATAAGGACGTTAATATAACTTAAATTAGCAAATCCATTTGACCACCAGCAGAGCAATATTTTCATTGAGAAAATTATGATCCTTTCCCTTGCGAGGTAAAACTCATTTCAGCGGCTTAACGACTATTATGTATTTTGTAATCGTTGGCATTAAGCATTTATTGTTCCGTGACGCAAATGGTATCCGTTACTGCCAGCGTTGGTCGAAATACAAACTTGGAGATCTGTATGCACACTTGAATCGCGCAGTACTTATAAATAGCATTAAAATCGAAGCGATGGTATTGAAGTGTGCAAAAAATTAATGTAGAATAACATTTTTGAAGAAATCAGCATTACATTACCCCTCTAATCTAATGGTCATGGCAATTATTAGCTCACCCTGCGTAGCACGGGAGCTATTGAATTCCTCTTGTCCGTCTGTCTGTCTGTCTGTCTGTCTGTCTGTCCGCCTGTCTGTTGACGAGGTTTTTGCATCAATTGATGCTAATTAATTTGCCCCATGTGCAAATTTTAGCAAATTTGTAGCACCATTGGTCTCGAACAGTCGGTAACACAAAACGATGCCAAACAATTGAGAACATAGATGCAAAACACACCAAACCTGCATAAGAACCGAAGAAAATAACTAGAATTTTTACTTCCAATTTGTCAAGATTTTATGTCAAAATTATGGATTCGTTTTTCTCGATTATTTTCCACCATTGGTGAAAAATTATATCACAATTATGTATATATTTTGTCCGTCTATTCTGCACCATTAATGCAAAATTATGCCAAAATTGCGTATCTATTTTATCTGGCAATTCTGCCCCATTGGTACAAAATTATGCATAAATCATTATTACAGGGTGAGCTACTTCTAACGTTACAACGGTTTATTTGCTCCAATATTCACAAAAAAATAAAAATTTGTTGGAATTTCCACCTTAGACTTCATTTGAATTAATTACCCTAAAAAATTCAGTAGTAAACTTGTTTCTATTATAATGCATTGTTTTCTTTGGATTTTCACCTCATTCATGGGAAACGAAATGTTATCTTCTTCTGAAGTAATCAATATTTGGAACGGTCTATTCCTGGAAGCCGACCTAACCTTCATATTCACCTCTGACTGTGAAATACATAGTGATTCCGATCATTTTAGAGTAGTAGCAGGCACTAATCGCTACACTCCTTTGCGTAATATTGTTCTCTGTCGAACACTATCTAACATCCGATACCCTAGTGGATTTGAGTACCTGAAAAGGAATGAGCATCGAGGCATGGACAGGTCTGCCAGGCATAAAGTTATGTTCTTTCCGCTGGACGTAACGTTAGGTTATAACAACGCCCTTAATAGTCAAAAGTGCGAACTATTCATGAATATCGCTTAAAACGACCGACAACACTACATTTTCGCGCAAACTTCTCGCCAC